ATAAGGTATTCGAATTTTATCAAAATACAACAAAAGTAGAACATGCCAAAGAAACATATTAATCATGGGATTAGAATTAGTAAAAATGAATATAAGACATGTAAAATACTTAAAAATCAAATAAAATAAAAATTTTTATTAGAAAGTATAATAATGCTGATGGATTATGTGTTGCTGAATGTTGTTATCAAAAAGGTTATAAAAGTTAAAACAGATATGTTTGATGCTAATACCGAATATGAAACATTTGAATAGAATTGGAAATATACTAAGGGTGACAATTCATATAGATGAAATAACTCTAGAGTCTGCATAGACACAGCAAAAGATAAAAGAATATTTGAATAGTACCTGAAAAATATCAAAGGTAATGGACTATGCAATCAACAATAATGGTTAAATGTATTGTATAGTTTATAAAAAATTCTTTAACAAATAAAAAAATATATCTGATTCAAGTGAAAACAGTAATGATGCTTAAACCGATGATGATAATAAAAGTAAGACATTCAAATATTATCAAAATACAACAAAAGTAGAACATGCCAATTAATTATAAAATTAGAATTAGTAAAATAAACATAAGGTATGTAAAATGCTCAAAGATTGGATAAAATAAAAATTCTTACCGGAAAGTATAATAATGCTAATGGATCATGTGTTGCTAAATGTTGTTATCAAAAAGTAATAGGAGTTGAAACAAATATGTTCGATGCTAATGTCAAATATAAACTATTTAAATAGAATTGGAAATATGCTGAGGGTAATAATTTATATGAGTGAAATAACTCTAGACTCTGCATAGGCACAGCAAAAGGTATTTGAATGATACCTGAAAAATGCCAAAGGTGATAGACTATGCAAAAATATAAAAAACAATGTTAGTAATATTAATAAAAGGAATGAAAATTATAAATAGAAAATAATAACTTAGCTAGTATAGAGTAGGTGATCAAAATGCGATAGATCATGTAAAATAGGAGTCAACAAAGATGACAAAATGGCTTTTAGACAATATATAGAATTTGCACATTTGAGTAATATAGATAAAAATAGTATTAAAAAGGATATATTAAATAAAATAAAAGCTGATGAAATTGATACAAAAAAGAGTATATATAAAGTGTTCATTTTTTATCAAAAACCTGGAGATTGCTATAAAAATGGAATTAGTATTAGAGATAAAAATGAAGCATGTAATGAAAGCATTAGTAAAACATATGAAGTTGGATATGGCTATATAGGTCTTGAAAAAGTGTTGATTTAAATACGTTATTAGATATTGATCTAAATGAAGCATTCAAATATTATCAAAGATCTTCTGACATAGTTTGTACCAATAGAATGTATAAAGTTGAATGTGATAGTAGAGTTAAAACTAATGAATATAAGATGTCTATATATAATTAAAAGTCTGCTGAGGTAATGGTAGTAGAGAATATAAAGTTAGATATTGTTATAAAAATAAGATTGGCATATATAAGGATAAACATAATCCTCAAAGATGAAGTTTACTGAAGGAATGCTTAATATTGATAATTGCTATTAGAGATAAGATCAGTCAGCTATTTTTGGCTTAGCCATTTTTACAGCCAACCAAACCTATCACTAATTACTACCATCATAGAAATAGAATCAGTAGTGAAATGAAAAGATTATTAATAAGTGATCATTAAATGCAAATAGATCTGAAGAATTAATCTTTATATAGTCACCTTATTTTTTTATTTACTATTATAGTAATATATAAAGGTTTTTTAATATAGTCACACCTTTTTATAATTACTCAAATTTGGTTTTTCAAACCAGTGATTATATTGAGGTCTGACTATATTAAAAAAATTTAGATCAATTTAATTTAATTTGAACCTATTCGAATTTATCTAAATCAGTTATAATTTAGTTTACTTTTTACTATTATTTGCTTATTAAATTTTATAATAATACTTATTATTAAATTAGTTTAATCTTATTCGAATATATTTAGATTAATTTTATTTAATCAAATTCTAATAAATTATTATTAATTTATTATCTTATAAACCTTTATATATCAATTATATTAGAACATATAAATTTTATTTATTGTAAATCAGATTATAATAATTTCTAAAATAACAATAAAATAATGTACTATATATATTTTTAGAGTAATTTACTATAAATAGCTAATAATTTTTTTAATCAGATTAAATTTTATAAGGTTTATCAAATTAAATTAATTTGAATTATTTTAGATTAATTTAAAAAAATGCAAATAGGTATGAATTTTATTAAGTAAATTTACAAAATTGTTATAATAAATGGAGTTTAGTAAATTATTCTGGTCATAATAGTAGTTAAATCATCAAAATTGGCCTAACATTTGCTAAGATAGCTTAATTATAATATTTATATAATATCTTAAATATAGTGCAATATTGTGCAATAATTTAAAATTTTGTACAAATATTATAATTTTTTTTATTTTTTATTTTTAAACTAATATCACAGGTGCTAACACTTTATTGTGTTTTTATATGCTTATTTACAAACATTTTTTGGTACATTGATAAGCATACAACTAGCCACACATACAGCTTTTGGTTGCCTATTTAAGTAGTCTGCCCGAAGGTTCTACACTAGCTACCATATCTGCAACCTGCTAGAAGATTGCCTATTTAAACCCTCTGAACTTCTGTACCCACACCACAATTAGCCCTATAAGTTTCTATACACCAAGGTGCCGTCTAACTCGACATTTGGTTTCCCTTTCTGTGTTAGGAACCCAGGCCGTACCCAATTTAATAAGTACTGTCACCTAGTAGCAAGGCTCAGGGTGCCTCCCTGTTAACAACCTACCCACTCTATGGTCCTATCAACAGGGCTATGCTCTTGCAAAGTTCACCCAAACCCGGTATTTACTTCACAGCATATCTTCAGTACTTTGGTTCTCCTCCACTTTGGTTCTAGACTACTAATCCAGATGGCCCGGAAGAACTATGACCTGTCTTTGGTTCATCGGCTCTGCCATGACCTTTTCCTCTGGTTAACCCGGCGGCCTGGTTGGTGAATTGGCTTTACTACAAACCAATCGTGCCCTGTCCGGTTCTTCCACTTCAGTTTCCTTTTCCCAGGTTTAGCCTTTATAGTAGTACCGTCAAAGATTTGTGCTACCTCTTCACTCGGGTCTTCCCAAACGGACTCCTGTTCTCCCAGTCCTACAAATTTACATGACCTAGGGACTTATTGAGTGTTTGCACTGCCTATTGCCAGTTTGCATTTCTCCATGTAACTCCAAGATTGCACGGATGCCCCAGACCTGCTAGTTATGCTGGTGTGATCGTAGTTACAGGTATCCTATCCCAACTGATCGACAGAAGACGGTTGCTATAACACAGGTAATTATTTGAATTTTTGCCATCAGTAGGTTTCAAACTCTTGACCTGCTACTTGGTGAGGGTGACAACCTAACCACTACACTAGATCGCCACACCTCTACAAATATTATAATTAAACTATCCTAGTGAATATTGGGCCAATTTGATAATTTAACTACTATTATGACTGAAATAATCTGCTGAACCTCGTTTGTTATTACAATTTTGTGAATTTACTTAATAAAATTTGTACCTTTTCATATTTTTTTAAATTAATCCAGTATAATTTAAATTAATTCAATTTAATAAACCTTACGAAATTTAATCTAATTAAAAAAAGAAAATTACTACATATCACCGGTGGTGATCATCACCAGTCCTAAGATTTGTTAGGGTTAGGGTTAGAAATTAGAGAATTATTTTTTTTTTATATAATATAATATAGAGCTAATATAAAGTCCCGATTTTAGTTTTTGTGAGGTTTTTGGAGGTTCTGAACATTTTTACTTAGAATACCCGATCCTGTTTACTTAGTACATTTTTGAGATATAGCAATACCAGTGATGATCACCAGTGGTGGTAAATAGCAAAATTCTTAAAAAAATTATTAGCCATTTATAGTAAATTACTCTAAAAATGTATATAATGTATTATTCTATTGTTACTTTAGGAATTATTATAATCTGATTTACAATAAATAAAATTCATGCATTCTAATATAATTGATATATAAGAGTTTATAAAATAATAAATTAATAATAATTTATTAGAATTTGATTAAATAAAATTAATCTAAATACCTCACCTTAAACATTAAAAAAAAAAAAATTAATCTATATATATTTGAATAAAATTAAACTAATTCAATAATAAGCATTATTATAAAATTTAATAAGCAAATAATAGTAAAAAGTAAACTAAATTATAAATGATTTAGATAAATTCGAATAGGTTCAAATTAAATTAAATTGGTCCAAATTTTTTTAATATATGAAAAATAAATATTTCTAATAAAATTCTCAAATAATATAAAATATATATTATTAAAAATTTAAATTAAATAGAATTAATAAAATTAAAATAAGCAGACAATAGTAGAAATAAATTAAAATATTTATTGTTATAGAAAAATTCAAATAAGTTTGAATTAATTTAAATTAATTCAAACTATTTTAATATATGAAAATAAATATTTCAAATAAAATTCTCAAATAAT